TAGTACAGTGAAGTCATCTTTGTTCATGCATACTCATCCCAGCCCACTCGCCTTGGCTGCCAGGTTACATTGATGTTGCACAAACTGTTCTTGCTACATTAACAATGGTTGGACTTTTTCCCGACAGACCACATATATACATATATTTACATACACACAGAGTATAAAGCATTGCCTCATGTGATTTTGGAGGCTGAGAAATCCCAAGGTCTGCAGTTGGCAAGCTGGAGATTTAAGAGAGCTTATGTGTAAGTATAGTCTGAGTCTGGAGGTCTGAGGACCAGGAGAGCTGATGGTATAAATTTCAGTTTAAAAGCTGGAAGCCTCAAAACCCAAGAAGAGCTAATGTTTCAGTTCAAGTATGGAGGCAGGGGGAAAAAAAAATCAATGTTGCAGCTCAAAGCAGTCAAGTGGGAGGAGTTCCCGCTTACCCAGGCTTTTTATTCAATTTAGGTCTTCAATTGATTGGATGAGGCCCACCCACATTAGGGAGGGCAATCTGCTTTACTCAGAGTACTCATTCAACTATTAGCTTACCCAGAAACATCCTCACAGACACACCCAGAATAATGTCTGACCAAATGTCTGGGTATCCCATGAACCAGTCAAGTTGATATGTAAAATTAACTATCATGGGCCTACCCCTTGTTAACTTGGCACTCTTATGCATCTCCTAAAAGAAAACAATCTCTAAATAAAGACAATGATAAAGTCATAATTCTACCTAACATGATACTACTGTGTACAACCAAAAACAGACTAACCCCTTCCCCAGAAAAGGAGGTAAAGTCCTTAGTGCTGTTAACTCTTCTCTTTGACATCCCATAACTTAAATTCTATGATGTAAAATTAGCAATACTTAAGTACTATGACAGAAAGTAAATATACCTTATGTTATACAATAAGAGAATAAGAGAGGGAAGAAAACAGATTTTATACACACATTTGTAACAAAAAAAAGAGGAATACTCATGACAATTGCAGTCCTTGTCTCTGTAAATGGTCACATGGTCAAAGCTGGTATTAATAACTGCTTTCTTCAACTATCTATTCTGTATTCCCTTTGCCTTCAGCAAGCACCTCAGCTGATCATGGATCTTTACCTGGTGGGGTGACCCAACCTCCTTTCCTCTAGGGTCTGGGCCAGTAGTGGTCCTGCATGGATTAGGTTGCTGTAGTTTTACATTGGCCTTAATCAGAGGGCATAGTAATACCAAGAGACGCCCTGAGAGATCTCCTGTTTCCCAGACATACTTTTCCTTTCTTCAGTTGTGAAGCAGTAGTCCAATTTCCCCTTGGTAGTCAGACCAGCCACCCCAGCCAGCATAGTTACTCCTTTTCTTTGCCTGTTGTTTCAGATATATGAGGAGCCCAAAGTGGCCCAGGGGCAGTCTTAACTTCCAGTTCAATGGAATTGTTGTTGTATTTCCTGGTGGAAGCACTGCCTCCTTTTGGAAATAAGGCTTTTGGGCCAGCAGAACAAAAGGTCCTCGGAACAGGAAGCAAAAATTTTGCTAGTGGATCATTAGGGGTAACAGTGAGTGGTGCTACTCCCATTTCCACTTCTTGATTCCTGTACCAATGAATTCTGGCTATGGGAGAAACAGCAGCATATATTAGGTATCTAATTAGCAATAGCGTTTTCTGTTATATTAGGAAATGGATTCAGCATTCATAATTTGGTTACTGATAATATACAAATACTAAAGTGCACATGTTCATGTACATTTATATTCATTTCTTTATTGAGCAAGTATTTACTTGAAAATATATTGATGCAAACTTGAAGTTATAATGAGATTCATCTATGAAAAACATGTTTATAACTATATAGTCTGTCAGGTAAATGTGATTAAATGTCATTGCTTTAAAAATATCTCCTAATGAAGAAGCTATAAAATGCTTTATTTGGGGATGAGAACTTTGGAAATGAGATTGGACATAGGAGTGAATACATGAGACTCTGCAAAGTGTCATAAATGAACAATATTATTTACATATTCCATGTGTTCAGGTCATTCTAGTCAAGCATGCAAAGTTTGTAAGCATTAGAAATTAATTTACTGCACTTTTTGCCCATTAAACAATTAGAAAAATGAAAGTGTAAGTTTTGGCTCTGGCTAGGTAGCTCAGTTGTTTAGAGCAGTGTCCCAATACACCAAGTTTGCAGGTTCAATCTCCAGTCAGGGTACATACAATAAGCAACGAATGAATGTATAAATAAGTGGAACAGCAGATCCATGTTTCTCTCTCTTCCTTATTCTTTCTTTATAAAAATCAGTAAATAAAAAAGAATTTCCACTGATGTATCAATGGAAAAAACATTTAAAGTGTACGCGCATTTGCACCATATAAACTCAATGTAACAAATGTATTGACTGCTTACTATGTCCATGGCATCAGGCTACTTGGAGGAATAGACTGTGAGGAAGGAGAAGAAAGATGTAAAAAGAAGTTGTAGCATCTACAAAACAAGACGAGGACATTGGTGGGGGCGGGGGAGCATCCTGAGTGAAGTAAGGTTTCCATAGAGGGGAGGGGGCAGCTGTGACTGGGAGTTTGCTTTCATTCATAGGGGTTGATTAAACAAGTAAATATATTAAGGATAATGGGAATCTGGTTTTTCCACTGTTGGAGAAAGGAGTTACAAATAACAAAGGGGAGAAAAATAGAATGAACACTGTAGTTTAAGATCAGAACTAGCAGTAACAGTGACTGGAAATACATATATAAAAATAAATGTAAATATATGTATATATATTTACGTATATGTACATACATACACATGTATTTGTGTATGTGTATTCTCCTTGGCTCTGTCCACTGAGAAAGCCTAATAGCAGAGGCCCCCCAATAATGACCACACATTGTGTCCAAATGGTGGCTTCTTAATATTATCCTTCACTAAAAAACAAACAAACAAACAAACAAACAAACAATCCAAGAATCCTTGAAGAAATGCCTGGTTCCACCACTGGGGCAGGAAAAATGCAAGTTGAGCCTGAGTCACCCTGTGCCAGAAAGTAAAGATGTGCTTGAAGAATGATGGGAGCATAACATGAACATTCAGAAACCAGCTTGAATAGGCCCCCACTGGCCAAATCTGGGACAATTTGAGAATCAAATTCAGCTTTTTGGTAATAAAAATGAAACAAAACGTAGCTATCACAAGCAAATTTAGGAACTCAAAACAATAGCCAAACAGATTGGGTAAAAAATATCCCTAAGACCCCTCGGAAACATAAATTAGCACCATAAGCTGTATAAAAGTATAGTAACTCTGCAATTTACAAGACAAAAATGCAAGCAGGATGACACAAAACAGCTGAGAAATAATTTTCTATCAAACTTGTCAGAGAACTGTTTTCCAGGTCATTAGCTTAAATTCTTTCTACAGCCCAGCAGTGGTATCAGCACGTTTGTTAGAATGTCCCCTACTATTATTGCCTTGAGCGTGTCAGAAACTGCATGGGAACTTGAAGGTGAGTGAATTTTCCAGGTTTTTGCACTGGATGGAAATTTGTGCTATATCCCAGGAACCTCTTCCCAAGCAAACCTGGAGGTGAGCCCCCTTGGACCAGACTACAGAATGAGAGAACTTATTCCTGCGCTGTCCAACACAGCATTACTAGATAGATGGGGCTATGTACAGTTAATTAAATAAAATTAAATATTTAGTTTCTTGGTAGCAGTAACTACAAGTGCTCATCAGCCAGATGTGGCTTGTGGCTGCTGTATTAGACAAAGCAGATGTAGAATCTTCATATCATTACACAAAGTCATTGGACAGCACTGATGTAGACAGTTTAGAGTGTTGTTTTTTGTTTTGTTTTTTCCTGAAGAAGAGAGCCATTTTTCTATATTCAATACTGACTTCTTTGCCATTTTCTGTAGATATACTGGGTTATTGCAGGGAGTTTCCAATGTTTACCTATAACTGATTAAAGTGGGCAGAGCATGGGGTATTCTACTTATTTCCAGGTGAATTCCTCACATATCCTGGCTTTTGTAAGTTCTCCACCCACAAATCTTTTACAACTATATATCCTGGTAAAACCCCAGTCATAATTTCTTTCCATTGACCTAACCCAATAATGTCTTGTTGTGGATAATAAAGAGAGGCAGCTTAATCCCACAAAACCAGGATACATCAGCTTCTTTGTTTTTGAACCTCTAGCCAAAAGGAGTTCAACAACTCCAGCAAAACCAGTAACACCAAGTCTTGGGAAAAATCCAGGAGGTACATTTGGGTGCTATTCACACCTGTATAACCATCACTGAACCAAACTTCTCATCTTGAGCTCAGTTTGGGAGTACAGTTCCTAACACCAACTTTTATATGTTTATATGCTCGCAATACTGTCGGAGATGTGAGATGCTCTCTTCAGGTTGAGTCCTTGGCTCCTCCACATAATTAGGAACGAAGTAGAGTGAAAGGTTCATTAACCTTCACAGAAGTTTTGTGAAGTGAGTCCTTATACTGTGATGCACAGACTTCGAAGGTGAGCATACTTAGGCTGGCCGGCCCCAGGGATCTCTGAATTGTCTTGAACATGGCTCTGACTGAGGCGGCTCCTGCAGGTCCTGGTTAGTTGGTTTGTTTGTTTTTCCCTGCCATTAGTCTTAGGGAACCCACTCGTAATTCCCACGCGTCTTTCCGCGGTGTCATTTTTAGAAAGCAGGGAATTCCCAAAGCGGTGGGCAATCGAGGGCCAAAACCCCGGAGATTTAATTGTTCGAAGTGGTGGACGCCTATCTTCACTGGACAGGGGAAACTCGGTTCGATGCCCCACAGCCGGACACCACGCCGAGTCTCTTGCGCCCCTCTGTCATCCGCCTGACACCTGCTGTGTGCGCGAGGCCGCTTGAGTGTGCGCACTCCCGTACGCGCGCCGGCCCACGGGCCTTTCTCTGTAGCCAATGGGGCGGGGCGCCGCGCGCCGGGGGCGGGGCAATGACGCGCGCACCTCGTGATCCCACTTGCGGCCTGCAGTCTAGGAAGGCGGAAGCAGCGGTCGTCCGCGGCACCGGCTTAGGGTGGGAAGGTGGGGGTGAGCTCCTCCGGGTGTGAGCACCCTAAGATGGATCCTGACGCGACAGTCGCGCGGCGGAGGTCGTTGCAACTGCCGCGGCTGCTTTTGGTGCCCATACTATGGTCGGGGCTGGCTCTGGGCACGCTCGCCTCCAGCAGCACCCCCCACAGGGTCTTGTACGACCTCCTGTCGGAGCGGCAGTTGCTGATGGTGGAGGACTTGTCTCTTACTCTCCTGCAGGGGGGAAGGATAGGACCACAGTCGCTACATTCTGACCTGCCAGATCTGGATCCTGAGTGCCGGGAGCTGCTGCTGGACTTCGCAAACAGCAGCGCAGAGCTGACCGGGTGTCTGGTGCGCGGCGCCCGGCCGGTGCGCCTTTGTCAGACCTGCTACCCTCTGTTCCAACAGATCGCCAGCAAGATGGACAACATCAGCCGAGCCGTGCAGGTGGGTAGAGGAGCACACCCGGTACCTCTGGCGTGGAGGGTTGGGAAAGGAGAACGTAATGATGGTTAGCTCGCGGTGGAGCTCAGTTTCCTCATCTGTAAGAAAAAGGGGTTGGGCTAGGACTGTAGAATTTGAGCATCGAAAAAGTGGATGGCATTATAGGGCTTGGGGTTTGAATATTTCCCTTCGTGACGCTGTCGGGCATCCTCTGAGTTCATTCTATTTGCAGAGAGATATGACCAGTTTTATTGGGGCCTTTGAATCCCTAACCCTACCTTTCCTTTTCTTCTTCCCCTTAAGTTCCTCATCCAAACTCCACCACAGCTTCTTCCTAATTCCACCTGGAGTTCCCAGGAAAGACCATTTCCTGAAATTCCATGTCGAGTAGGGAAGCTGTAGTGTGGTAGTGGTTAGGGTCCTGAGCTTTGTAGCCAGAAATGTTCAGACCCACCACTTTCTAGAAGTTTGACCTTAGATTATCTTAATTTCCTGCTCTTATTAGCAGTATAGCCTCAGCAGGTTGCATACTCTGTGCTTGTTTTCTCACCTGTAAGATGGGAATAAAAGGAACTCTTAGAAAATTGGCACATAGTTATGGTTCTTAGTAAATGGGAGCTAAAATGTTAGGAAATGGTCAATTTACCTGCCTCCCACCCCCATTCTTGGTACCCTTAGAGCTTTTCTGGTCATGTGGTGGGTGCCATGAGGAACTTAAAAAAAGATATGTTCCTGCTCCTAAGAACCTTACAGAGTCTAGAATAGGAAAGGAATAGAATGTCAGGGCTGGTGGGAGTCATGAGGTGTGGGCGGGATTTGCCTTGTAAAAGGGAAAACATGAATAACTTTGCGATTGTGGAGTGGGGAAGTTTTTCTTGTGTTGAGAGCAAAAGCAGTCTCATGAAAGTGTGGTTGGAATTATTTTAAAAATTATAGTTGATTGGACAAAATACAGGCTTTATATAGTTAAATCTTGCTTAAAGTCAGTCTTATATTACTTATATTAATCTATTTTTTTACATGAAGAAGGGATTTATTTGCATTAAATAATTCCTATGGTCAATCTTTCTGTAAAGAGCTAGTTTTCAATGTAGTTTAAGTTCATTTAGGCTTATCTGCAATGTTCTTCAGATATACTTCTATTGGGTATAGCAAGGGACACACACACACATACACACACACACACCCCCCCCCCCACTATGATTTAAGAATAAAGCCCCCACGACTTGTCCCTGTCAACTATAGCAGGGTATTAAATGGCATCACATTCTGTTTTGAGCAAAGGTGAGTTGTTTGTGGCCAGAATGACTGTGATTATGATGCAAAGCTTGGGTTTTTTGAGGCAGCAAAAGCTTTTCTCATTTGTGTATTTACTGTGGAATTAAGAGGTTAAAAAATCATTGCAAACTCTATTATAGTATTATGGACATCACCCAATCTTTGTAAAAATTTCTACATGGGTTCCCCTTCCTAGAGTGGAAGTGGCAGAAACTTCCTTCTCCTTTGTGCCTGTCAGATACCACAGCTGCCATTACCCGTAGCTCCTCGTCTTTGTGTGAAAGAAGAGGATAAAGAGATACAAAGGGGTAGAAAAACCCTTTCCCCAATCTGCATATTTTTCTCCAACTCATTCTAGATTTTGGTCTCTCTCCTTTCCTTTCCTTAGAGCTGGATGTGGTATATTAGCTCAAAAGTATTATTTCTGTAGTTCTGAGGTATTTCATGGATTTAATAGGCTTTTTAAAATTGATTTGAGAATTGAACCATCACGTATTATAATGAATATATGGAAGAATGTGCTCTGAGTTTCTTAGGAGTGAACCTGAAGGAATCAGTTGTTTTTTTGTGTTGGGGGGGGGTGGTTTTTTCTGCAGAGTAATATATGGTTTTTTTTGGCTCACATAGACTTAGTCTTTCCTTTAGGTTAGATTAATCAGTAAGCACATGCTATTCTTAAATATTGGGCTGGTAAAAGAATGTAGAAGGGAAACGGAAGATTAGGCTTAGGCCTCAAACTTTCCTTGTAGTTGGGAAGATAAACCTATATTAAGGAAGAGAAAGTAGGAAAAAAATAATCAATATTAATGTATAAATTGTACAATAGCAATTTAGAGCAAAAGGATGAAAGATATGCTGAATTAAAGAAGGGAACAGAGCAAGGTGGGGTTAATCAAAGAAAATCTACAAGCCGAATTTTGAACAAAACATACTTTCTTACCTCTTTAGAGTGAATTCATGTCCATGGCTTGATTGAGAGTGTAACAGTGAGAAAAAGAATCAAAGGTACAAATTACTAGGCTATTTCTGTGGTACAACAAGTTAATTAATTTAACCGTAATAGAATTATACGATGAGAATTCTGTTTTCTTGTTACTTCCTCTTTGAATTACTGGAACAAGGATCACATATAGTTTCATTATCTTAGGGTAAAGAATATAGTGATTTGTGAAACCTGAATGTAGAACTGATGGATGTCATACTTTCTACTTTTAGTTTAAACTTATAGCAATGTGGTTTCATTGAGCTGTTCAGCATCATCAGAGTGGTTGCCAGGATGCTTTGGCCTCATAAATTCTGAATTACTAAGCTCTATCTTTTTCAACCTGGTTTGTTTAAAATTTATATAGATAGACATACAGATATGTATATATATTTATTCATGGAGGTGCTCACAGTGATTAGAGATGTGTACCTAGAAGTGTTTAATGTACTTTTAGTGTAGGTTAATAAGTAAATTCTTAGGAATATAGACAAAATTGGAATATAACAATAATTATGTCTTTCATTAGAAATCAGAAAATGTAATGCTTGTATATTCATTAAAAAATTATTGAGTACCTATTACGTGCTGGCTAATGGTAGCTACTAGGAATGTAGCTGTGAATGAGTAGAGCTTGTAGTGTGGTACGGAAAACAAACATTAAATATTAGCATACAAGTAATTACTTAGCTGTGATAAACGCGCAGGAAAAAACCTCAGATGGTACCTAAGCATATAACCGTACTGATTTTCACTGGGTTTGGGAGTAGATAGAGTAGACAGTGATTAAAGCTGACCCTAAAATTTCAGAGTATGTGGGACAGGGGAGAGAAGGTACGCATATAAAGAAATAGTAGGTGTGAAGACTGAGATGGGAGTCTAGTGTCTCTGAGGACTAGAAAGAACGCAAAGCACTGTGAGCTAGGAGACTAGGGAGCTGAGCCTGAAGAAGTAGGCAGGTGCCTGGTCATGTGGGCTTGTAGGGCGTGTTAAGTGTTTTAGATCCTGATTGTAAAGCAATGCAGTGCTACAGAAAGTTATAATTCTGCAGAGTGACGTGGTCAGCTTTATGCTGTAAGAGGCCGTTCTGGCTGGCTATGTGAGTGAAAATGGAGGGGACAGGGACCGGTGAGAGTGGAGGAAGAGGAGGTATGGGGAAATGAATTGAGACTCCTGCAGTGATAAGAAAAATGGTGGTGGCTCGGCTACATGGCTCCATTGTAATGGGAAGAAATGGGTAGATTTCAGAGAAATTTAGGAGATAAAATTGAGAAGACTTGATAGTTAATTGAAAGGGGAGAGCGAGGGAAAGGAGATGATGATTTCCCATGTTTTAATAAGAGCAGCTTAATGTGTACGGTTGCCATTTCACCAAGATGAGGGAGGAACCTGTTTGGTAGCGGGGGATGACTATCATGAACTTGATTTTAATAATGTTGATTTTGAGGTGTTTATGATATGTAAAGTTGAGAAAATGCATACGTGGTAGGATATATATGTCTAGAGATCTGGATTTGAGATAATATGTTTGGGAGTAGTCAGCTTAGAAGTAGTGTTTGAAACCATGGCATGATGGGTATAGTTGATAAATGAGTAAGGCATGCTAAGAGTTGAAGATTTGGGTAGAGAATAAAGTTTTGAAGGAGACTAAAAAAAGAAGAGCCTGAGAAATTAGGAAATATTAAGAAAAATTAGGAGAGTGTGGGGTCCTATAAATAAAGGAAAACAGAAGGTCGCTTATTTGTGTCAAATCCTGGTGAGAGGACTGGAAAGGAAGTGCATGTGTCAATATTATCATTATTGGTGCCACAACAAGAGTGATTTTGAGGGAGTGCTTAGGGTGAAAGCAAAAGTAAAGTGTGTTAAATAGTGAATGGAAGATGAGGAAGTAGGAAGAGTGAACCTATACAACTGTTGAAGAGTTTATCCTTAAAGAGGAGATAAGATATTTCAGTAGTTCACTGCAAAGGAATGTGGGACTCAGTGATTTTCTTTAATTTCTTACTGTTACTTTGTCCCTCCATTCTCTGTCTCTTCTCCCCTACTTCCTTTTCTTAAGATGGCGAGACCTGAGCATGTTTAAATGCTCCAGGGAACGACCCTATAGAGAAGGTGAAGATACAGGAGAGAGTGGAAAAAGTAAACAAGGTCAGTTTTCCTGAGAAGGCAGAGTAGATGAGAACCTAGGGAATCCACACAGAGATGAGCCTTTGACTTTCTGCACTGTAACAGGACGGTAGAGGGAGAGATTGGGTGCAGAAGTAGGCAGCTCAGAGTTTCAGCTTCATAGCTTCTCTTTTCATTATCAGGTAGGAGGCCAGATGTTCTTTTGAGAGTAATGGGTGAGAGGGATGTTGGAGTTTCAGGGAGAGTATGAAAGATTGGAATAGTGGTTTTAAAGAGAGGAGAATGAGCTGACAGGAAAGTGAGGAGTTTGGGATTATGGATTTATTGTAGAAATAGTCTGCTTGGTTGTTTGCCTTTAGTCATACAGGCACGATGAAAGTGGATGGTTGGGCTTATTGTGGTTAGGGTTCTGCAAAGTGGTTATGAGTATCTGAGTGTTAAGAATTTAAATATAAACCAAGAGCAAGTGTTTTTTGATCACATCCTAGGTGTTGGGAACACAAAGATAAAATGCAAAGTTTCCATCCTGAAGGAACTTCTGTCCAGATGAGGAACCTAGGCATACATAGGTGGGTATGAGGCTTTAACAACTGAGCCTCAGAATGAGTAAGTAACTTAGCCAAAACCATGTAGAGGAAGAGGTTGGGTTTGAATCCAGAAGCACACTACTATCTATTTCAGAGAGTTGTTACAAGGATTAAATGAGTTACACATTTGGAGCATTTAGAACTGTTAGGTACTCAAGTACATCCTCATTGAGATTATTCATCTCTTCCCTTCCATTTCCATGGTTGCCACCATTTTTGCATCATATCTTAACTATGGAAATGGTCTAATTAGTCTCTCTGCCTCCTCATCCTACAAATTGTAACCTAGAGACCTGTGTTCCCCAAACTCTGCTTTTCATGTCTCTCTCCTCAAAATTCTTTAAAAGATTCCCACTGTTGCCCTGGCCAGTATGGCTTAGTTGGTTGGAGCATCATCCTGTAAACCGAAAAGTCATGGGTTCAGTTCCTGGTCAGGGCACAGGCCTAGGTTGAGGGTTCAGTCTCCAGTTGGTGCACATACAAGAGGCAACTGATCGATGTTTCTCTCTCACATCAACGTTACTCTCCCTTTCTTTCTCTTTCTCCCTTCTCCTCTCTCTAAAATCAATAACGTGTCCTCAGGTGAAGATTAAAAAGTTACCCACTGTCTGAATCTCTTGATCCTCGAGGCTCTTAATAACCTTGCCCTAAATTGTCCCTCTAATACCTCTACTTTCACAGAGGTACTCTCCATTCTAGCTATATTAGCCTACTGAATACTCTGTGAATACCTGTAATCATTCCTCTTCCCTTTCTCAGTATAGGGTTTAGTTTAGTTCCCACTTACTCTGTGAACTCTTCCTAATTTCTCCCAGCTACACTGAAGTTTTCCTCAACTGAACTATTCCACACATTAATTACTCATACAGGCTGAACTGCATTGATTTTTTTAAATAGCTAGTCATCTGCTTATGAAGATTCAACTCATGTAACTGATTACACTTAGTGTACAACACCCACTTAGAGCACTTTAGGTTGGCAGCAAGGTAGCCCGCAAGGTGAAGTTGCATCTATCAGTTACTTACTAGGTGCCAGGCATTGTGCTAAGTGATTTTGTTATGCAAGACTTGTGACTATGAAACTGAACCTCAGAGAGGTCACTTCAGCTTTCCAAGATGGCCAGCTAGTGAATGAGGCTTGTCTGACTCCTTAGGCTATGCTCTAATATTTAAGCAGTGATCATGGAAATTTTCTGCTATGGCTGATATTACTTGAAAACAATTTCAGGAAAGAAGCTTTCAAGATGCTTTGTTAAATTCACTATTTTAAAAGCAAGTGTTCATTTGGATACATCTTTTAATGAGATGACAAAACTAAGCCACAGAGAGAGTAACCATTCTAAAATGAACATCAGAGATATTTCAAAGCAAGAATTCTGCTATTAAGCCCTCTTTCCCTCTTTTTTCACCCCACCTGGCTGACCAGTTCTTTTCTAGAATCATCAGTCATCGTCTTTTATTACTCATCCCACTATTCCTTATGTGTGTGTGTCTGGAGAGGTTCTTGAAGCCCCAGTGTTGATGGCATTCCCTTTTACTTTTTTGTATCCTTCAAACACCGGGATTCCTACGGTGCCTGGTAAGTGGTAGGAGTTAACACTGAAAGAATGAAGGGTCATCAGGACTTAGTTCCTTGCTTGGGGCAAAAGGAAAAGTTAATACATAAAGACCAGACAATTTAGAAACTTCGATTTGTTATTTCCATAGTGTGAGTTTCATTATTAAAATGATCTGTGGAAAGCACATTGTTTTATCTAGGTACAAACTGGATGTGTACAAAAATTACCCAGAAGGTGAAACTAAATGTTTTGTGATAATTTATCCACCAGATTTTTAAAAATCAAGTAGATAGTATATGTTCATTGTAGAAAAATTTAGTGTGAAAGAGGCAAAATAAAATAGAAATCAGCATATTTCCATTATTTACACATAACTACTGCTACATTTTGTGAATAACTTCCCATAATATTTTCCTTTACACAAAAAGTAAGAAATATAACATGCGCACAATTTGGGCCCAAGTTGTTTAGATTGTACTATAGAAGTAGTCACTTATTTAACAAGCAAAGATTTTTTTCCCTTGCAGATGAACCTGGTATCAATAAGTGTTAGCTGCTATTGTTTTATTACAATTGTTATTATTAATGAAATCATTATGTGAGTGTATCAAATAAAATGTTAAAATGCCTAGAGTGAATATTTTTATTATCTTAAAAGCTTTTTTTTGGTCTTAAGTTGTTGTTTGGACCTCTTAAAAATACTCAGGTTATATTTTTCTTTTCTTTCTTTCTTTTTTTTAATTTTTTTTTTTTTTTTTTTTTGGTTACAGAATACTTCAGAGAGTCATAGTTGTGCCAGAAGTCTCTTAATGGCAGATAGAATACAAATAGTTCTGATTCTGTCTGAGTTTTTTAATTCCACATGGCAGAAGGCAAATTGTGCAAGTAAGTAATTCTTTTATTTTCATGTTGCAGTTATGGTTCAGTAGTATAGATGTCAGATTTTATTTTAATGAACTTTGAAATCTTTGAATTTATAGAATACTTTTTATTATTATGTTTAAATGAACTGTGATTAGCATCATGGTATATTAGTGGGAACTACGTGGGCAAATATTGAAAGGCAGAAAAGTGTAGCAGTTAATAGCATGTGCTTTACCATCAGACGGACTTAGGTTTGATTCTAAACTCTGCTGTTTATCAGCCTTAACATACTAGCTCTCAGACCTTTGGGCATCTAACTTTGCCTCTTAGAGCTCCAGTTTCCTCGTCTGTAAATTGGTGGTAATAATGGAACCTACCTTACCTGATTGTGTTGAGGATTAAATGCGATAAATTGTGTAAAGCACCTAACTCAGTATCTGGCACATAATATTAACTGTTTAATAACAATTATGATATTTATAATAATCTATCAAATGGTGCTAGGGGTGATGAAAACATTTTTTTTTTAAAGGCAAAATGTATTTTTTTTTTAATTTTTTAGTTCCCTTATACCCTCCTCCCCCCAGCAATCACCACACTGTTGCCCATGTCCATGGGTCCTTTTTCCTTTTTGCTCGGTCCTTCTATCCCCTAACCTACCCCTGTCCCCTTCTGGCTGTCATCCTGCCCTCCATCAGTGAGCCTCTCCCCATTTTCCTTGTTACCTCAGCTGGTTCATTAGATTCCATATATGAGTGAAATCATATGGTATTTGTTTTTCTCTGACTGGCTTACTTAGCATAATGTTCTCCAGGTGTATCCATACTGTCAAAAAGCGTAAAATTTCCCTCTTTTTTACAGCTGAGTAGTATTCCATTGTGTAAATGTCCCATAGTTGTTTTATCCACTCATGTATTGATGGTCACTTGAACTGCTTCCATATCTTGGTGATTGTAAATAATGCTGCAATGAACACAGAGGTGCTTATGTTCTTTCAAATTAATGTTTTGGGTTCTTTCGGATGTATTCCCAGAAGAGAGATCCCTAGGTCAAAAGAAAGATCCATTTTATAACATCAATTTTACCAGTTTTGCAGGTCTGTATGTATTTGTGCAATAAAATTAGATCTATTTTTAGGCTTTCTTTGGAAAAATTAAAATCACTTTCAATTCAGAAGTGTTTTGAATACAAAATATGTTCTAGGCAGTTTTTGTTTTTCATGCCTTATAATTTAGTGAGAGTAAAAGTTGTATTTACAGTGTAACCTAAGGCAGACAAATAAATGCTTTAATAAAGCTATGGAGTCTTTGGGGGAAGTAGAGAATAAATATGAATTTTGGAAAATTTGAAATGACTTCCTGGAAGAGGTACCTTTTGATCCTGTATGGACGGACATGATTTCAGTAAGTAGAGATGCAAGGAAGGACATTGCAGATAGAGAGGTAGGTATCATGGACAGAGGCCCAGAGCACAGAGGTATGAAAGAGTAGATGTCCCAGGGTTCTCTGAAAGCATAATGGGAGATAAAGTTGGAAAGGGAAAGTAAGGATAAAGTTGGAAAAGTTTCCCAGGGAAAGTAAGACTGTGACTGATATAGTAGTTTATCTCTTATGCCAACATTTTCATGCTGCTTAGAATACCAGCATATATTAAGAAATAATTATATATAATAGTATCTTGGGGATTTACAATATATATGGAATATTAAAGGCAATGAGAAGTACTGCTAGTTTTTAAAAAAAACTTTTTACCATCATTTAACTATTGCTTTTTCAAGCCTTTTTTTTTTTTAAATTGCAAATACCTCTTTTTTCATGAAATCCGATTGGAAGAGGAAGAGAGAGACCAGTGACAAAGTTGTTACAATAGTTTTAGTAAGAAGCAAAGAAAACATGAAATAAGGCATGTGCTGTGGAAATAGAAAGAACAGGCTGGATTAAAAATCTCTGTACCTGTAAGTCCTTAAGTAGTTTAACTTTCCCAAAGACTTGTCTTTTTGTTTAATTCATAAAAGGATTGTCCCACAAAGCAAAAGGTCACCGGTTTAATTCCTGGTTAGGGCATAGGCCGAGGTTGCGGATTGAGTCCCCGGTTGGTGTGCGAACGAGAGGCAACCAGTTGATGTTTCTCTCTCACATCAATGTTTCTCTCACTGGCTTTCTCCCTTCCCCTCTCTCTGAAAAATAAATACATAAGTAAATTTTTAAAAAATATTTTACTTATTTATCTTTTAGAGAAGGGAAGAGAGGAAGAGAGGGAGAGAGGGAGATATCAATGTGTGGTTGCCTCTTGAGCTCCCCCAAGTGGGGACCTGGCCAGCAACTTAGGCATGTGCCCTGACTGGGAATCGAATTGGTGACCCTTCTATTCACCTGCCGGCATTCAGTCCACACCACCCAGGGAAATAAATAAATATTTTTTAAAAAAGAAAAACTGTAAAGGGAAAAAGACCCCTTGGTAAATTTGCTTTGCAGTGTACCATGGTATATTGAATATTGAACATTGACTCTCTTAATTTTATCTCTGTTCAAATTTTCTATTAATTAAATAGAAGCTTGGCTGACAGTTAACTTTTTAAAAAAAGGAAAACCTTTATTTTCTGGAGTAAAAATTTCTGTATAAATGTATGATATAATAAAATACATGAATATGATTAAACAGAGTTTGCCTAACCTATATAGGAGACCTGTTTTTAAGTATTCTTAAGTCTTTTAGAAAAATCCACTGACACAGAAAAATATGTTAATTACAAATAATTTAAATCAGTTGATTAGAATAAGTGGAATATGTATGGGAGTTCACCTCTTTTGACTGATGTGTCTTAATTTATATATTTGATGGGTAAAGCAACTTTTCTTTAAAAGATATTTTGTAACAAAGACTTTACTAATTCAAAGTAGTTTTCTTTTTTAGTTAAAAAAAGGAAAACACTTTGCTGCATATTTATTCGAGAGTATTGAGTAAATACTCTTGAGAATAAATTCTTACAGTCCTTTGTTTTTCTGTGATGTATTCTGTCTTGAAAATATTCCTTGATTGAACTTCTGAACAAGTAAAATGTGTACTTCCTAATTAAAATTAATTTGGCCAAGACATATGGTCCGAAGAAAGAAGTGAGATGCAGAGAGAGGTATGACACCTTTTGGGAATTTATTTAGCTGAGTGGACAGGAAAGAAAGGATTTATTTTTCATTCTACTTACATTGCTACCCTTTGGATTTTATGCCGTATGCATTTAATACATATTCAAAAATATATAAAATTGAAAAAAAATCATCAGAATGTCCAAATTGAGAGTATGTGTATGTTAGATGTAGTCAGTGAGATTGGCTGTCTTCTTTTCCAAGATTATGCATTAAAAAAATTATCTTCCATATGTTTCATTTACACTTTAAAATTTCACCATAATTTCTAAATTTTAAATAGAAATAAAATAATTCTATAAATTTGTATTCCTTAGCTATTTTCTCTTGGGCATTCTAAAATAACTTAAAGATAATGTGAACATTTAAAAAAATTTAAATAATTTTTCAAATAACTTCAAATTTTTTACTAAAATTTAATAAGGCATTCTTACATGAGAAAATGGTCATCTCTTACAAGGTAGTGAGAAAAGAAATTTGTAGGATGGAATAAATGAGGAGCCAAAGCAGGTGAATAACAAGCCATCAACTGAACTAAACAGTATTTCTTAATTTCATAACCCTTGTATCATTTGAGTTTCACAGTAAGCCCTGTGAGGCAGAATGAGGGCTCAGGGAGTGTAAGTAAGCTGCAGATCAACAGTCTAGAACAACATTCAAAAAGCTTTGAGATTGTTCATCTGAGTAGGTAGAGTTCATGAGTTAATGCCTAATTTTGTTTAAAGTTCTGTTTGACAGATTTATTGTACAGTATCCATTTTAAGACATACAGATATACTTTAATTAGTCCTACAAAAATTTAATATTTATGCTTTATACAGGTTTGATATTATGAAAAACCTAATCTTTTTCTAAATATATAAGTGTAAAATACTCATTTTTTCCCCTAAAGACCAATTAGTACTACATAAAATTAAAACTAGATAATGTGAAAGAATTTTTAATAGAGTTGCATATTTTCTAAAGTTAACCCTGATGTCGTCATATATCAGACATCAGTTTCTGATGCTTTCTTATCTCTAGCAACCAGATCTCTTAAACCACAAATTTCATGGGGTCCTCACTCTTATTTTATTAATGAATGATGCTGAAGTTTTCTCTTTCACCTTTGCATGTAAAAGAAAATCCATTTCTTATCTATCTAGTCATTGTTTATTAAGTCATTGGCCTATAGAAATATGTAAAAAAATACAAGGGATATTTACTCTTTTAATAAATGAAAGAAGGTAGTCATGTTACACCATAATTTTATTTTATGTTTTAGAAAGATTTTGTTCGTTTATTTTTAGAGGGAGGGATTGGGAGGGAGAAAGAGAGGGAGAGAAACATCGATGTGTGAGAGAGACATTGATTGGTTGCCTCTCACATGCCTTCAACCATGGACTTGGCCTGCTACTCAGGCATGTGTCCAGACTTGGAATTGTACTGGCGACCTTTTGGTTTGCAGGAATGGCACCTAACTCACTGAGCCCCATCAGTCAGGGCCACACTAATTTTAAACAAAGTGTGCCCAAACAGTTTACCTAGAGGAGAAGCCAAGATGGCAGTGGAATAGGTAGAAGCTACACTCACCTCCTCCCAGGACCAAACTGGAATTACAACTAAAATACAGAGCAGCCATCCTGAATAACCAGCTGAAGACTAGCTGAAGAGAAGTCTTAAAACAAGGATTTGCACCCTGGCTGGTGTGGCTCAGTGGATTGACTACTGGCCTGCGAACCAAAGGGTCGCCAGTTAGATATCCAGTCAGGGCACATGCCTGGGTTCCAGACCAGGTCCCCAGTAGGGAGTGCGTGAGAGTCAACCACACATTGATATTTCTTTCCTTCTCTTTCTCCTTCCCTTCCCCTTTCTCTAAAAATAAATACAAAAATTAAA